GCCTTGTGCTGACACGTGGTTAATGCTCAGTGCCTTCGTGGACATTCGCACGCCCGGCCCAGTGCTGAAACAGGGAGGGCGCATCCGCCCCCACGGCGCTGGCAACGCCCTGGGGCGGGCAGAACGACACGACACACCAGCGCGGCAGACGAGCAAAACAAACCACCCAACGCCCAACCTTTCCGTGCTCCAGACGTGCACTCCGCGAAGCGAGAGGAATACACGTCCAGAAGTAAGATGTTGCCAGAGGCAGGTCCGCGAACGCTGTAACGCAGCGTGTCCTATTAACACACTCGTTGCAAAATTTCAATGTCTCCTATTATCACACAGTTGCTACATCTGGTCTCATTTTGCAGTATTACGTAGCCCTCCCAGTCCCCCTCTGAGGCCACGCCACATCCACCGACCCAATGATGGCGAACCCTTCCTGGGTCTCAATACATACCTACAAAAACACAAAACACATGGACACATCGATGATTTAGGCCCCTTCGGCCTCATGGGGGTCTCAGAGGGCCCCAAGACGGTTCAAGATGGCCTCCAGATGGCCCAAGATGGCCCCAAGACGGCCCCAGACGGACGGCCCCAAGACGGCCCAATATTGCGCCGAGAGGCCCAAGGTGGCCCCAAGACGGCCAAAGAGGCCTCCAAGACAGCCCAAGTGGGCGGGCGCCTGGAGGCCAAAACAATGTTTCCAGTTCGAGCCGAGGGACACAGTAGGGGCCCTTCCACAAGAAACCTTCCACAAGAAACCCAACCCTGAGACGCCAGGACGTCTATCAAGCCTTGGCGTGAGAACGCCGCGCTGTCCTTCGCGCAAACCCATCGATACCCAAGAAACGCAGGGCACCCTGGAGGCAAGCAGGGTGTTTCTTGGGCCCAGGGACGCCCAACTGAATGTGCGCAAATCCCAGGCTGCCCCCTGTTCCCCGATATCTTCTGGGTCTTCGCCTTCCCTCCCCACTTCCCATATTTTCCGACATTTCCCTTGGAGTCGACGGTCCATACTTACCCGTATGTTATGGGTTTTCGCATTCCCTCCGCACTTCCCCATATTTTCCGACATTTCCCTTGGAGTCGACGGTCCATTGTGTATGTGTGTTTTTCCCCCTCCCGAATACGTGGGGGTGCAGCGACTGCTGCAGAAAGTTGGGCCCCTTCGGGCCCAGACGAGGGGTCCTCCTTGGGGCCCGAAAGAAGTGCACCCTCCCCCTCCACCCCCCTCACTGCTCGCCCCCTCATGAAGCGACCCCCGAGACCGCCCTCGCTGCCCGCCCGCCGGTGCCGCCGCCGCCGTGCCCGTCGCGGCGGTCGCCGTCGCCGTCGCCGTCGCGGTCGCCGCCGCCGCCGCCGCCGTCGCCGCCGTCGGTCGCCGTCGCCGTGGGGCCGCGAGCGGCGGCGCCTCGAAGCGGACGGCCGCGGGCCCCCCTCACTGATCGCCCCCGGGACCGCTCGGCCCGACCCCCCCCCCCCCCCCGCGGCCTCGTGCCCGCGGCGCAGGGCCCGGCGGCCGCCTCCAGCTGCGCCTCCGGGGGCCGGCCGCCGACGCCGACGCCGGTGCCGCCGGCCGCCGGCCCGCTGCTCATGGGGCCAGTCTCCACCACCACTGCCAGATGTAGGAGGAGGAGGAGGAGGAGGAGGAGGAGGAGGAGGAGGAGGAGGAGGAGGAGGAGGAGGAGGAGGCACAGCGTGCGGGAGGAGGAGGAGGAGGAGGAGGAGGAGGAGGAGGAGGAGGAGGAGGAGGATCTCCTCATCCTCCCTTCCCCCGCCCTACACATTGGCAGTGGTGGTGGGGCCATTTGCCCATCCGCTTTGAGGCCAGCCCGCTGCGTCGCTGCCCGCCTCGTCCTTGCCAGTGCTGCCGCCGCCGCGGGGCACTGCAGCGCCGTGCCGCGCCGGGCGGCGGAGGGGCCGACAGCGGGCTCGTGCCGTGGCGTCTGTCGTCGAGGGGCAGCGACCGGGGCCAGGGGCCTCGTCGAAGGGCAGCGTCGGGGTGCCAGGGGTGTCGTCGAGGGGCAGCGTCGGGGTCCTCGCTGAGGGGCAGCGTCAAGGAGCCAGGGGGCGTTGATGGGCCATGGGGCCTCGTCCTCGCTGGTGCCGCCGCCGTCGCCGCCATCGCCGCCTGCGTAAGCGGGCGGGCGGGCTTGCATGCATAGACAAGCGCGCGCCCCGCTGCTCGCAGAGCAAGCTGCTCGCAGAGGGCCCGGATCCGCCGCGGGGGCTTCGCGATCCGTGGCACCGGGGCAGACACGTGGGCGATCTCGGCCCTGAACCCAAAAACCTTTTCATCTCTTGGGGGCACATCTTTTACCTCCGCCGCCTTCCGCCAGCCTTCCGCCAGCTTCCGCTGGCTTCTGCTGGCGGAGGCGGCCTCCCTCCGCCGCCTTCCGCCGCGGAAGAGATGACAACTCCCTCGATCCTCGAAGGCAAGACGGCCCTTTCTGGAACGCACCACGTGCCTTTTGTACGTTTGCGATCCGGCAGTCTGCGAGTACAGTAGGGGCCCGACCACAAGAGACCTCCCACAAGAAACCCCACCCTGAGACGCCGGGGCGCCTATCGAGCCTTGGCGTGGGAACGTCACGCCGTCCCCCGCGCAAACCCATCGAGACCCTGGAAACCCAGGGCACCCCGGAGGCAAGCAGGGTGTTTCCTGGCATGGGTCCCCGCTGCAGCGGAACGCGCGCGATGCATGCAGGCGAGCGGTCGGACCCCGACGGGGCGGGTCGGCCGGGCGCCCGCGGCGGCTGGCGGCCGCCCGCCGTCGAGGCCGCCAGCCCGCCGGGCGGCGAGACACCCAACGGAATGTGCGCAAATCCCAGGCTTCCCCCTGTTTCCCCCGTATGTGCTGGGCTTTCGTATTCCCACCCACTTCCAATATTTTCCGACATTTCCCTTGGAGTCGACGGTCCATTGTGTCTGCGTGTGTATGTGTGTGTGTGTGTGTGTGTGTATGTGTGTGTGTGTGTGTGTGTGTGTGTGTGTGTTCCCCCTCCCGAATACGTGGGGGTGCTGCAGAAAGTTGGGCCCCTTCGGGCCCAGACGAGGGGTCCTCCTTGGGGCCCGCAAGGAGTGCACGCTCCCCCTCCACCCCCCTCACTGCTCGCCCCCTCATGAAGCGACCCCCGAGACCGCCCTCGCTGCCCGCCCGCCGGTGCCGCCGCCGCCGTGCCCGTCGCGGTCGTCGGTCGCCGTCGCCGTCGCCGTCGCCGTCGCGGTCGCCGCCGCCGCCGCCGCCGCCGCCGGTCGCCGCCGTCGGTCGCCGTCGCCGTGGGGCCGCGAGCGGCGGCGCCTCGAAGCGGACGGCCGCGGGCCCGCCGGCGCCCGGGGCGCCCAGCAGGACGGCCTGCACGGCGCGCAGCGCGCAGGCGTGCCGCAGCTCCTCCCGGGCAGCTCCGCCGCCGCTGGTCGGTCGGTCGGTCGTCTCGCCGGCGTCGGTCGGAGTTGTCTTCGTCGGCCTCTTCGTCGCTGTCGCCGCCGTCGTCGTGGTGGTCGCCGCCGCCGCCGCCGCCTCCGTCGCCGTCGGCGTCGCCTCCGTCGGCGTCTTCGTCGACGTCGCTGTTGGCGTCTCAGTTGGTATCGCGGGCTCCTCCGGCAGCGTCGCCGTCGTCGGCGCGGGAAGAGGGGGGAAGAGAGGAGGGGTGCGGCGCAAGGAGGAATTTCGGGGATGCTCGGCGACTCTCGGACGTTTTCGTCAATTTGATCGTTTTTGTTTGCTTGGTCAGTCGGAAGTCTCCAGAGGGAGAGGATGGGAAGGGAACGGCAGGAGGAAAGAACATGAGGAGGGACGAGGAAGAGTTGGATAATGAGGAATGTGCGGTGATGCTCATTGCTTTCTTTGGTTTGGATGGGTTCTCGGGGGTCCTGAGGTATTCTGGGGAGTTCTGAAAGGGTTCGGGGGGTGACGTGAGGAGGAGCATGAGGCGGAGGAGGAGAACGACGAAGAGATGGACAAGGGAAGGAGGAGGCAAGATGAGGAGAACGGTTACCATGACGATGACCATACTAAACCCAAGATGTACGAACGATGCTGCAACGAATCCTTCAGTCCCAAGTCCCCTCCTCATCAGTTATCACGAGAATTATTTATCACCGTGCGAAGTGCGCCCCTCTTGAAAGACAAAGGCGCCATGGGCCCAGAATTCTGGCAGGGCCTCAGCTTTGACGGAGTGTGGCTTGAACAAAAACAAAGACATGCCAAACTATAACCTCGCTTAAAAAAGGAACCGTCCTATGTCAGTGAAACTGTTACGTACATGTTAGCTTCTGATCATAGACAACACGAAGTTTTAAGCGAGAACTTTGATTCGATAAAAGGTCCACACTCCATCCGTGTAGCGGTTGTTTAGTTCTACGCCGGCGGGAAACTTGTGGAAACAACTTCCAACGATAACCCCAGTTTGAAACGGAACAACCCTCCATCCGTGCAACGGCTGGATTGGTTTAGAGCAGACGCGTGTGCGCGGCGCTACAGCGATGGCCACATTTCGAAAACGTGCTGGCCTCCATCCGTGGAACCGCATGTTGAAAAGGAGCAGCCCTCCATGCGCGCAGCTGTTCGAAATTTCGAGAATCCGGATCGGAATTCGCAAGGCAGTCTCCAACGATACGCCCAATCTGGCCTACGGACACGCCTGGTGGTGCGCCAGGGTGGTACACATGAAACAATGAATTGAGGACAATGACAAGGAGGAGGAGGAGGAGGAGGAGGAGGAGGAGGAGGAGGAGGAAGAGGAGGAGGAGACGCGGGAGGAGAATCGGCAGGAGGAGGAGGTGGAGGAGGAGGAGGCGGAGGAGGTGGAGGAGGAGGAGCGTGAGCAGCTCCTCCAGCCACACGCTCTGCCAAGGGCCAGTGGCGGCGGAGTACATGAGTTGCCCGGGGGGCGGTGCTGGTGTTCCTCCTGCTGCTCCGCTCCCTCCGTTCCGGATTTTCCTTCCTCCTTGTCATCTTCACTCCTCCTGCTCCTCCCGATGTTGCTGTTCCTCCCCTCCTCCTGCAAGATTAACCGAACGATGATAATGAGGATCGGGCTCTGTTTTGCAATAAGCGGTCGACGCCAAAGTACAAAGCTAGGCCGCCCACACCGATTGACGGCGGTTACAAATACCCTGGGCCAAAACTCACAGGTTGCACAATTAACTGAGAGGCTACATTGACACACCCTTCGTCGATCTGATGATCCAGGTCGGGTATGTCACTTGCAACCTCATGTAAGCTCACTAGCCACGATGAGATGCTGTGCAAGGTAATGGCGCAAATATTGCGCAGAGCATATGCAGCCTAGCAGCGCAGCAGGTGACCTAGGCTGCGGCGGGATCGCGCACTCTATTTCTATTTATTACGAGTAACAAGCGCACTGAATTGACTTGAAAACATCAAAGGCTCCAAGCGCGACAGACCTTGGATAAACATGAATAGGAAGAAGTACCACTGGTTACGCATGCCCGAGGTCGACCTCGGCCTCTTGCCCTTGCCACCGGCCTTGACATTCTGCATCATCTCGCGCTCACGGTTGGTCCACAACCCCATCACTCGGCGACGGCCACTGCCCACGATGAACTGTTGATCCTTCTCCAGGTGATCAGTCTCCTCGCCATCCCAGGCGCTCCGGAACGCTTCCGCAGCGGCCCGGCAGGCGCTCGGTGCGAGCCGGCACGAGCGGGAGCGCCTCCGCAGCGCCCCGACAAGCACCCCGTGCGAGCCTGCACGAGCGGGAACCTCCGACGCACTATCTGCCCAGGCTCCCAGTCTGGCCTCGACGTCGTCCTTGGGGAACTTCTCCGCCGACCTGTGCCCGATGGGGTTATATACTATATACCTTCCGACGGCCTTCTAACAGGTGCAGTTGGGGCGACGAGCGTTCGGCGCGACCCACTCGCGGTTAAGGTCCCGGCACCTCTCGTCACAGTTGACGTTCGAGCGGGGGTCCACTACCCAGATCTGGCTAGTGGCCCACATGCGGTAGTCCCTGTAGGGCTAGGCCTGCCAGAGGACCTTCTCGCCCTTGTGACAGCGCGCCCTTGCATTTGGGTGGGCACATTGTTCACCTCCGTGGTTATATGGGTCGCGGAAACCGTGAGGCTGGCACATGGCTACGGAGAGGGTCGCGCGGCACCAAAGTAAACGTGTCTCCTCGACAGAATGCTGGTACCATCCGTTAGGCTTAGTGGTGGTCTTGTCGAAGTTGTCATGAGACATATCAAGACCATCACCTGACGTCGAATTCCTGTGCCAGCTCTTTGCCTAGGAAACGCACTACCCATATTCCGATCATGATGCTCCCGTCGTCGCTCCAGATTGAAGGGGCCCAAGGACACGCAAATCAATACACACAAATTCGCCGGCCCAACGGGCCAGAGGCGTGCTAAGATCTCCGGTAACTGGTTAACAATTTTCTAGTTCGCGCGCGCGGGGCGGCCCCTGGGGGTCCCCGGACGAAAAGTACCCCGACCAGGTCCCGGCCGGTCCCCGGCCGGGTCCCGGCCGGGTCCCGGCCGGGTCCCGGCCGGGTCCCCCCGAGCGCTCCATGAGCGCACCAACAGGGCTCCGAGACGTCCCCGAGAGCCCCAAGAAAGGCCAAGAGGCCCCCAAGAGGCCCCCAAGATGGTACACGAGGGGTCCGACATGCCACAAGATCGCTCCAAGACGCCCAAGATAGCCCCCAGACGCCCCAAGAGGCCTCCAAGAGCACTCCCAATAGGGCCCCCGGAGGCAAAAATCATTGTTTTTTCCATAGGTTTTTGAGAGATTTTGGAGCTTCCACCTTTTCGGCTTCCCGACGCCCCAAGACGGCCCAAGAGGCCCCCAAGATCGCCCCAAGAGGGCCCAAGAGGCACCCAAGAGGGCCCCAAGATGGCCCAAGAGGGCTCGAAGACGGCCCAAGAAGCCTCCAAAACGGTCCAAGAGGGCCCCAAGAACGCCCCCAAAGGGGCCCCAGAGAGGGAACACGAAACAACATTTCGAGCCCTCGGCCCTAAGAAGCCCCTACGAGGCCCCTAAGAGGCCCCAAGAGGCCCCCACGGGGCCCTCAGGAGGCCCCCAAGAGTCCCCCAAGCGGCCCCAGGAGGCCCCCCAAATGCCCCCCCGAGCGCCCCAGGAGTGCCCCAAGCGGCCCCAGGAACCCCCAAAGCGCCGCATTGACACCAGGCCCTCGGGCAAACGGCAGACATGAGACTGTATGGGCCGGCGGAATGAGCGAAGCGATTAAATAAAAGTATGCCCCATATTTTCCCATATTTTCTGGGTTTCTGTCTTCCCCCCTACTTCCCATATTTCCCGTATTTTCTGGGGAATCGACGATTAATTGTGTCTGTGTGTTTCTTTTCTTCCTGACAGATGGTGGAGTGACCGTAAGAGGCCTTCCAGCTGGCGATCGTAGGCTTACCAGGCCACAGCACGCCTACCCATGCGGTCATCATGTTGGCGCACTCCCGCTCCTGCAGCTCAGGGTCGCTATTGAGGCACACCTGCGCGTGGATGCCAGCGCCCCCATCGTAACTGTGCCTGGGGAGCTGCTGCGGCACGCGCGGTCCTGGGCAACCCTCGCGATGATCGGGGAACTGGCTCTGGGTGGTTACCTGGTGAACCCGCTCCTCATGCTGCTCACGACGGAGATCGGGAAAGGCCCAGCGCCGCGTTGGCGGCCCGTCGAAACAGGCCCTGAGTAGCACGCGGTAAAGATCACCGAACAGAACATCGAACGAATCGCGGTAAGTGTCGCAGTCTTCACGGGTTAGGATGTGCCCCCCTGGGTCCTGACGGTCACGAGTTGTGTGGTCATTCCACTCCGCGGCGAGGTTATCACCCCACCACCCTCTGACCCCTCTGGTCCGTTGAGGCGCGCGCGGCGGGGCCTTCCCGAAGCTGGCGTCGTGGCCTTGGTGCTCCACGAGATTGACGACGTCCGGCTGCCCCGTGCTGTCTGGCCGAAATCTGGGACGGCAATGTCGCTCGCCCGCGCCCGAACAGGGGTGACGAAGGGACTGGGCGGCCCAGGTGGAGGAGGACACCCAGTGGCGGGGGCGTGCCTGCGTTATCTTTACCAGCCCCCTTGTCATCGCCCTGGTCGTCCATTACCTCACACCCGCGACCCCTTTTGACTTGTCCACCTCCACCGTTGGCGACTCCTCCGATTTAGCGGCCGGCTCTTTTGCCATATTGGTGGCACTCTGAGACTGTTCCGGTGGAGGGTTACCGACGTCGCCTGAGGCCGATGAAGTTCCGGGGAGGTTAGGCGATGTCAGGTGGCACAGCCTTGTCAGGAATCCACGCCTCCGTCGCCTTCGCCGGCGATGCTGGTGACTCCTCCGCAGTTGCGTCTGACCTACTCCCGCGGTCCTTGACGGCCTCGGCGACCAGGTCAAGGGCATCGCCATGTCGAGGGCCTGGTTCACGCGCGCAGTCGTTCCATCGTGACTCATCAGGCGACAGACTTCGTTTACCTTCTCCATAGAGTGGTCGCTGTGAGCGGCGGTTTTGCGCCTCATGTTAGCCCGCTCGGCACTCCTCGCGGTCACCTTTGAGGATCTCGTCCTTCTCTTCGTTGAAGTCCTCGTTACGGTCAGCCGGCGCGCGGTTGCGAACCATCAGACCACCGTTGCGATCCATCGCCTCGGTGGCCGCGTTCTTCAGCTTATCGAGGGCTCCCGCGTGGTCGGTCAACAAGTAGCTCATGGCATCGGGTGCGTTACGTGCCAGCTTGGTCACCCGCTCGGCCACGCGCAACCTGGCCTCGTTTATGATCCTACTCTGCCACAAGCGGACGAGGTTACCCAGCGGGGCGACGCACTCTACTTTGCCCCCGATAGCAGTTACGCCCTCGCGGGCGACGGCGCCTGGATTGGCGAGGTCAATCTCGACACCGTTCGCGGTTAGCGCCTCCACGGGTGAGATTTCCGGCGCCTGAATGCCGTCGCCCGTCACATTCAGCAGCGCGAGCGTTGAGTGGAAATGGGATTCGAGAGGCAGAGGTCTAAGGAGTTGGTCTGTCGCGGTGACGAGGTATGCTGAAATCTCACTGTAAGATAGCTCGCAGTTAGAAGGCTCGCTGTGGAGGGCGAAACCAGGCTCAATGTTACTCCCCCCCCCCATGGTTGGCCGGCGGTGGCTCGCAAATGTCCCACGGGTGTCCCGTGGGTGCCCCGTGGGTGTCCCGTTGTGGCTCGCGGATGTCCCGCGGGTACCTCGTGTCCTAGGCTATGCTAGACTATTGCCTTGCCACTGCTAAGCTATGCGATGCGATGCGATGCTATGCGCTGCTATGCTATGCGATGCTATGCGATGCTATGCGATGCTATGCTATGCGATGCTAGAGTGTCCGGTGGCGCGGGGGTGTCCCATGGTGTCCCGTGTCGTCCCATGGCGCGGGGGGAGCGTGCTATATTATGCTATACTATGCTATGCTACCGATAGTGAGATCGATAGTGGAATCATGCGAGATCGATAATGAGATGCGATGCTACGCGCTGCTATGCTATACTCTACGATACTATGCTATGCTACGCGGTGCTAGAATGACCCGTGGCGCACGGGTGTCCCCGATAGTGAAATCGATAGTTAGATCGATCGTAGGATTGATTGAATGTGATCCATTGAGTGAGATCAATAGTGAACTCAATTGAGTGAGATCGTTTTAGTGACATCGATTGAGTGAGACGAGAGTGAAATCGATAATTAGATCGATCGTAAGATCGACAATGAGATCGAGAATTATATCGAGTATCGATGCTGATATCGATTGAATGAGATCGATTCGGGAACCCGGGAACCCAGCTGGAACCTGGAGCCCAAAGATCGGAAACCGGAACTGGGAATCCAGCCGGAACCGGGGACCCGACGATCGGGAACTGGGAACTCGTGCCTGGGCAAGGGGCGGGGGATTTACTTACTCTAAGTGCCCTTCTCAGGTATCCTTCTCCCCCTCCCCTCGGTAAGGAATATCACAGGCCTTCCCAATGAGGACCGCCCTGAGGCCTCATACCACTCGCAGCTTCCATCTTAGGGGCTGCGGGGGTCGGACCAAATCCTCAAGAACCTGGCACCGCACGTGCAGTGCCAGGGGTGGCGCGCCGTCTTCCCATTCCACCATCAGCGGGGGATGCGAAGTCCCTGAAGACGGGACGTGGTGTGCACGAGTGGGCATCATAGCCGGCTCAGAACTAAAAGAGGCATCATAGCCTCATCACTTTCCAGGTTGATCCACTCACGGATCCAATTCCATTTACCCTTCGTTGGCTTCATTCCACGCGTAGCATGCTGCCCCCCCCCCAGCCGCCTACCGAAATCGGCGGGGAACTTTCGCCAAATCTTCTGATCGTTTTTTTGTTCCCCTCCCGGGTAACGGTCGTTGGCCGTGGGGGGGGGGGTCGGGTGGGAGGGTAACGGTAACGGCTGCATGCCGGGGCGTGCATCCGCCAGGGTGCGTCCGCGCCACCGGCGCATTAATCGCCTGCGTGCACCACGGCACTTAGGGAAGGTCCAGGCCACCCGCCCCTCAACACGATCGTCAGCGTTACCCGGGGAAGGGGGGGTGTTGGGCACGGGTAGCGAACGTTACGCTGGGGAGGAGAGAAAAACGCCCACCTTTCAATTTCCGCCAGGACCTCTTCAGTTGCAGCACTGTGTGGGGAAACATGCGCACTCCCTGTCGGAGATCTGTGCGGATTTCTTTGGTCGGCGCTGGGCCCCCTCCCCACACCGTTTTCCCCGTGCGCGGGATACGGGGGCGCACACATTAACACTTGGCTGCTCCTATTTAGCGGGCGAATGATGGTAGAATGTAGCTTTTTCCACCGTTAGGGACGCCTGTCCCAAAGCGGCGGGAAAATGTATACTCTCACGGTGTAAACGGTTCCTCGTCCACATGAGCGCCCAAAGAGACAGCAGAACCGAGAAAACCGACAGGACCGACAGCGAAGCCGAAACCGACCGAATCGAAAGATCGAACGCAGCCTACAAGAACACAGCGACGCATCAAGCGACCGAGCCTGACCGACCGCACGCAGCTGACCGCGACGCAGCCGACCGAGCCGCGGAGACCTCTGGCCAGCTGAATCTCGGGGCAGCCCCCCTCCCTGTAACTACGCAAGTGGCCCTGGCGGCGCGCACAGGGGGTCGGAGGGGGGAGGGCTTCTCAGACGGAGGCTGCTTCTTAGAAGGCGCCGGCCTCACGTCTGCAGATCAGGCCCGCGGCTTCTGAGAAGCAGGGGTGTCTCTGAGGAGCCCTCCCCCCTCCCCCCACTCCCCTCTGCGCGTGGCTGGCTCTCCTCCTCCTCCT